GATAGATAGATAGATAGATAGATGATAGATAGATAGGAAACGATAGATAGATAGATAGATAGATAGATAGATAGATAGATAGATAGATAGATGCCTGAACATCAAAACAATAGGAAAATAAGTTACTTAATTTATGACTTTATTTGAATAAATAATTGATGCTTACTTTAATTAATTAAATAAATAAATACATTCATTTAAGTAACTGTGTGTGAACAGTCAAACAATACTAAAATACATTACTTAATTTATTAATGTATTTCAATAAAATATGATTCAGTAAAAAATAAATAAAATGAATGAATTTATTAATTCAAATTATTTATTTATTTACTGAAGAAACTGTTTGAACTTCAAGACAGTACTGAAATAAAAATGTGTTTTATTTAAATTAATTTATTAATTTCTTTTAATAAATAAATTATGGTTACTTAAGTAAGCAAATAAATGAATTTATTTAATTATTTACTTACTTATGTATGTATTTTACCAAAACAACTGAAATCTTTCCAATGTTATCCCCTGGTTGGGAGTCGGAACTGTTCAAAATCTACAAACTCACACAGTAATGGTTTGCCATTTGCAATGTGTTCATATCATTCATATCAATCATTTAATATTTTTCTTTCAGGGTGTGGGGACGGATCCTCATATGGCTGTGGTGCTGCCGTCTGATGCCAAACTGAAGAAGAAGAGCTCGATGGCCGGCCTGTCGGAGGAGGAGCAGCTGTCCATCAGGATAGGTAGAGCAGGAGTTCACTCAGGCAAGCTCTTCTTCACCGACCCACAGTCTGCTCTCAATCTCACACTCAACATCAACATCAGTGCTGCACTGATGGCTCTCTGTTTCTCTATCACCCTCCTGGCTCTTTTTATAATTCACGTTCTCTCTTCATTTTTGGTTCTGTCTTGAAACCTAGTGACTTACCTACCCCAAAACTATATTGGCACTTGTGATGTGATGTTTATATCAAATTATACACACATAATTAAAAGTGTGTAAAGTTTTCCGTCTCTTCTGCTCACCGGAGCTGCGTTTATTTGATCAAAAATGCAGTGAAAATTGTGAAATATTATTACAGTTTAAAATAGCAGTTTTCTATGTGAATATCTGTTAAACTGTAATGTATTTCTGTGATGCGCAGCTGTATTTTCAGCATCATTACTCCAGTCTTCAGTGTCACATGATCTTCAGAAATCATTCTAATATGCTGATTATTAGAAACATTTCTGATTATTATCAATGTTGAAAACATTTGTGCTGCTGAATATTTTTTTTAGAAACTGATACGTTTTATTTTTCAATATTCTTTGAAGAATAGAATGTTCAAAAGAACAGCATTTATTTGAAATATAAATATTTTGTAACATTATAAATGTCTTTAATGTCACTTTTGATTAATTTAATGCATCCTTGCTGAATAAAAGGAAATGTCTTACTGATCCTAAACACTGATGAGTTACAAAATGCGTCGCAATCAGCTGCATGTGAGGAAGATTTACTTTGATAAATAATAAATATCCCTTTAATGTGATCATTTACTCCAAAAATGAAATTCTGCCTTCATTTACTCTCATTTGTCTTCATCCCAGAAGTGTAATCTGTACATTGCATGTTATATGAAGAACGCAAAAGGAGAATTTTTAAAGATTTATGCAGCTCTGTCGTGTACAAAGGTAATTCACAGGAAAAAAAAACATGCAGTGTAAAAGCACTTTAAAAGTAATCAACATCTCACTTATGCTGTAGTTTAAACCTTCTGAAGCCAAACAAACCTTTAATGAGAAGTAGAATTACTCAGAGATGCTCTGAAATCAAATATGAAGCTTGAAAACGGTCATCATGCAGACTTTTAATGGATGCTCAAAAAAATATGTGCGAATATTAAAAAATATCTAATTTGTGCTCCAAGATAAACAAAAGTCTTCTGGGTTTGGAGCTGCGTGAGAGTAAATAATGACAGAGTTTTAATTTCTGTATGAATTATTCCCTTATGTTATAAGGGAATAATTCATGTTATAATGTTGCTCTATTGAAGATCAAGTTCACTAGGTTTTGCGGCAGTGTTTCAGATTCACTTACACAAACACACTTGGTTTTTTCTTCTTTTTCCTTCTTTATAATTATGATTTAATCAGTGTCCTCTCTCAATTATTGATTGTATATCTGCTCTTCCTCAGGCTCTTCTGAGACAGCATTGCTGCTCTTAAGTCTCTTTACTGTAGTGTGCACTATAGAGGGCTGGTGGTGGGGCTCTTTAAACTGCTTTGCCATGAATAGAGTGCAGAAGGATCATATGGTTTTCTCAAACGGTGCTTAATGCAACATTTATGGAGATATTGCAATATAACTTTAGCAATTTACCACCATGAAAAGAGCACATGCGGATCAGACATATGCACAACTCAAGGGCGTTTAGCTGATATGAAATTTATCTGTGTTATCTAGACATAATCGTAATATAATAAATGTAGCTGCAATTGAAGTTCTAATATTTTATTTATAATATTTTATAATATTCACTTAATTTAAAAGTTTTTAAAAAATATTCTATAACAGTTTCAGCCTATTAAATGTAAAAAAAAAAATGATGGCACAAAAAAACAGCTTTATGTTGTATTATTGCAAATATATTTACGATAACTGATTTTAAACAAGTTTATAATATTTATATTTATAAAATTAATTAAAATATAAAAGTAGAATATAACATTTAAAACTTTTTTTCACATGAAACTGCAGCAATGTAAGAAAAGATTAACCCTATTTATTATTATTATTATTATTATTATTATTTAATTTGAAGTATTTTCTCCTTTTGCATTGTGGAGGCTGCAAAGACCCATTTAATCTCTGTTATTGATTTTTTTTTTCTTGAATGTTTTCTTCTAATTCACAGTTTTATTTGCAGTTTTTCATGGTTCTTGATGACGTATTAGCTGCATGTTTAACAAACTCGCCTCTGAACAGTAAATACAGATCTATGACAGATCATGTAGATCATATGGTGACAATAAACCCACTAAACTACAGAGAAAATACATTTTTGCCCTCACATTTGAATTGTGATTGAGCTCTGGTTCATCTCGGACCATGCGGATACATATATTATGTATATTATGTATTCTGAATATGGCTTTTTGAATATTATCTGAATGTTCCAGCAGAAAGTGAAATGACCATTCTTCACTCAACCCATTAAATGTACAGTAATAGTATTTTTACTTTAATAACAGAGATTTCCCCAAAGAAGTGTAGTTCAAGTGACAATCATGAAAACCATGATTTTATAAACTCTCTTTATAGAGAGAAAACCCATAGCTGGATTCATCTGGCCTTGAGATCATTGTTAAATGTCTGCAGCTGTAATTCCTGAGGCAGAATCCACACAGTAATTAACCGAGCTAAACGAGTGTGAGCATATTACATGACAAACTAGTGAAAGTGCAGCCTGTGAAACGGCCGTAACCTCAGTAAGCTTCTGATTAACACACACACACACACAAACAAACGCACGCACGCTCGCTCGCTCGCTCACTCACACACACACACACACACACACACACCTATTACTGTTTTTATTAATATTTGAAAGTTTTAGTAATTTTGTTGTGTTCATGTAATTTTTAGTATTTTCGTTTTTTAAATATATGTCTATATAGTTTTGGTTAATTTTATTTCAGTTTTAGTTTGAGTTATTTTAGTACACTAAATACATTTTTAAAATTCTATTTATTTTTATTTCTTAATTTTTTTAGGTTGAGTTTCGTTATAATAACCCTGTAATAACCTGAATGCCTGAAGCGGCTCATATGAACAGGGTTGAATGACTCTGGAGTGCATGCGCTCGTGTCTCAGAGTTTGCGCTGGTCTCAGATCAGTGTGAGTGAGGGAGAATCTCAGGTGTGTGTGCTGACGAGTGAAATGAGGCAGATTACATCGCACCGACCACATCACATGCTTACAGAGAGCTGTGTGTGTGTGTGCATGCTGTTTCTTCATTATCTGTTGCTTAAGACTGCCTTTAAATTCACCATCAGCTTTGCAAATGTCGTGTGTTTGCACACAATCACACAAAGGGGTCGAGAGTAATGGTGCTTCTGACAAAGCTATCTTATCTCCTGCTTACTCCTGTGCTGCTATTGCATGACCGGGATTAGCTGCTTCCTCTCAAATCGGTTTCTCTCGATTGATCTCAAGCAGGAATAAATCAGCTAACAGTTTCCATGAAGCCTATACATGCACTGCATTATGAAGGTATTCAAAATGCTTTATAACACATCATCATCTGTTTTGTACATATGTTATATATGTTATATACGTACATATATGTACAAAACATTATGTATATATGTACAAATAAGCATTATATACATGCACATACAAATAAAAATATAAATAAATAAAAATGAATATATATATATAATCAAATTATCTATATTTTAAATTCTAATAATATTAGTAATAATATTAAAATGTATTCCTTAATATTTTGTATTTTGAGAGGATTTCATTGTACTAGAAATGATCTCACCTCTTAATTACGCACAATTTATTTCTATAAAATATATATTTTTATATATATTTAATATATATAAAATAATACAAATATTAGAAAAAAAGTTCATATTATTTTCAATTAATACAGTATTTAAGTTAAAAAATGATCAATGCATGAAAGCCAGATCGATGGAATCTGGTGGGAGAAATATTTAAGGCTATTTTGTCTTTTCTAATAATGTTAACTTTTTTTCATATAGCAAATATCACAAAATCACAAAGTTTCGTATGATTCAGATGAAGTACAAAATTAAAAAAATTAAAGAAATATTATTATTTTTTTTTTTGTCTAAAATGGCCAAAGACCAAAAGAGGGTTAAATATAATACATGATATAATATAAGAAATGAATGTTGTTCATTTGTTTCAATATACAGTTTACCCATGAATGGGAATGAAATATCATTTATAGAGTTACGTCATTTAAAATGATTTCTGGATGCTGTAGTAATACCTTTATAATGAATTTTCATATAGAGGCTTCATGGAAAGTGTTACAATAAAACAGCTTCTCGAGTGAGTTCCTGTGGGTGCTTTTCCTCTCCAGCCATCACTGTACACATCATCCATCAGACTCGATCAGAACGAGAGAGAGAAATGTGGGGTATACAAGTGAAGATGTCTGTTTGCCGTTTCTTACATCACATAAAGATAAAACCAATGCAAACTGTTAATTTTCATGCTTTTTTTCTGGAAAGCATAGCGGGTTTTGTTGTGGCCAGTGTTTCTCAGCACTGCACATTTGTCTTGTTCCAGCAGCTGATTCAGAGCCATGAGCTGAACTGAGTTTGTTGTGAGACAGTGAGGATGTGCAGTGCTGGAGGGGCCCTGTGAGCACGACTAACACACGCTCTGCTTTATCTGTGCTTATGAATGTGATGCATTCATGTAGTTTCAGTTAGTATAATGTCTTGGGGATAAGAGCAATGTTTGCCTTTGCTTGCATTTGCCTTTGGCCATGTGTTTTAGGCAACATTTTTAAAGTTTGCTGATTTCTCCCATCTGATGAGCTGTCTAGTTACATTTTTAAAAACTTTTGAATGGCAGATGGATAAAGCATTTGGCAAATGCATAATAATAATAATAATAATAATAATAATAACAATAATAATAATGTCACACTTTATTTTAAAGTCCAGTTCTTGCCATTAACAAACCATTAACTATGACTTTTGCCTCAATAAACTCCTAATTTGATGCTTA